GGCTTGAACTCACAAACCCCGAGATCAAGAGTCACATGCTGTACTGACAGAATCAGCCAGGCTCACCAGTTTTATCCACAATATTAAGTCAGTGGCTCAGATGGTTTGAAGGGGGGTGAATTTGGAGCCAAGAGACCCACTGGATCCTTGCTGTGCCTCCAGCCCAGGCTGCTCACCCTTCTGGATCCCGGTGATGGCGGTCAAGCTCTGGAGCCACCCCAGGTCTCCAGCTATTGGATAATAATTATGGGCAGCCTGGCAGTGGTGCAAAATCATGAATTCCGAATAAAATCTCGATTTAGCCCCCTATTCCGTCCAGCCTAAAATACAGTTGGTTTCTTTTTATGATAATGATGAAATAAAACATCGAAATACAGCTGTCCGGGAGAACCTTTACTGTCATTTGAGCTACCAGTGGTTACTGTAAATTATTCCTCACTGCTGTCCCCAGATTTTTGGGAGCAAAGGATGGGCCTTTTTAAATTTGTTCTATTACATGCTTTTAACAAAGGAAAAAAATGGCTTTCCAAAACCTCTGAACACTGCTGCAGTAAATGGTTTATCACTTAAGGAACAGCAGTGTATATAAAAATGTGGGAGGTCTGAGACCATGTTCAAAAAATTAATAAATCTCATTATTTATTTACAGTAAATATATAAATGGAGCCAATGCATATTTGCCCATTTTTGTGAAAAGGTCAAAAGCCATGAGCAGCCCTGAGAAAAGACCTAAGTGTATAATTTCTTAAGCAAATTGACCATGTGCCCCACGTGAAAGCAAACATGTTTCTTAGTACGCCTCATATTCTCTGCTCATGACAGCTGAGATTCAGCCACCAGTGTTGTTTTCTTCCTTAATATCTGAAATATTAAGGGAAAAAAATAACACTGAACTGAACAGGAAGTCGTGGCACATTTTGGCCAATGCTAATAGTCTAAATTTAACTAACTAAATGGATTACAGTATTTTTATCTTTAAACCCATTAGGATTTAGAAGCATCGGGCTGCAGTTCAGTTTCTAAATTATTGTTTTCTTTATTTAGAAACTGCAGCTCTGACCTTTTGGGCAATCCAGTTTTACTTCCATAGGACATTTGGAGGGGGCGTGTAAAAAGCCAGTGAAGTCATACTCAAGAGGTACATACATAGGCCTGTTTGGATTTATTTGGGGAGATTCCCAAGGGTTTGTCAAAGAAATTCCAAAGTTTAAATTCAGCCTTTCTGATCGACAGTGAAAGTGGTCTAGATCTTATTCAAAGATGTCTGTGATTTACAGCTTCAGGCGATTGTGGTCATTCTGGACTTTTTAAAAATATTTTCTCTAAATTCTATAACTGACTCATTAAAAAAAAAAAAATCCTCTGAACTTCCCCCTGCCCTATAGTCGTGTTGGTGTAAGATGCAGTGTTGTGTTCTTAGAATGATTAATTTAATTGCAAGATACAAGCTTATGGTGTGGCTTGGGAAGGAAGTACCTCTTGAAGGTGATAGTCACTATTTTTAGACTGACTTAAACAGAGAGGAGAAAGAGTGATCTTTATGATCTTCATTTAGCCTTAGACTAGGAGGTGCACTCTCTAAAATATCCAGTTACTTACTGGTTACTCTGGATAAGTTTTCAAAAGCACTTTTAAAGATATTTTTAAAAATGTATTTGTAATGAGTAACTGACTCAATGCTAGTTTTAGAGAAAGATTCCTTCTAATTCCGTTGCAAAATAAACATAACAGCTTACTAAACAAAAATAGATTTTCCATAGTAAAACTTGGTCAGAACAATGGCACATTCCTGGGCCCGGGATTCAAAAGTGGGTATTAATTCAAAGCAGCTGGATGCTGGGATTGAGAACAAGACTGTCCTGTCTTCCTGCCTCAGCCCTGCCGAATTTGATGTGCGACTATATTTTACTGCTTTTAAGTGCTTCTCTATCCTGTTAGTGAGAGAGAGGGGGTGGAGGGAGAGAAAGACTGTAGGAAAATTCCTACAAAGACTGTATAGGAATACATACACTTTGCAACCTTATGTCCACATTTTTGCATTCAAGAAAAACATGCCTTTGGGCATGTTTTCTTGGGCATCTCCTCTCTGGGGAGAGATCATGCTTCTTTAACATAACAGGTAGACCCATTCCCTCTGATTGTCTGATTTGTTTTCTTCTACTCAGCTAACTTTCCAGGGCTGGAGTTTTATACTTTATTCCTGATTTCAGCTTCTTCCACAGTTCCCCTCTAGTGGTCCCTAGTTAGGTTTTGGGATCGCTGTAGATAAAATTTGTAAAGGGCCTCGTGAAACTATTATGAGTTAATATGATAACGAAAGCAATCATGTAGCCCAAGTGAACACATTGTTATTAGAGATTTAGGGGAACTGAGAGGATCGTTGCCACTTCCAACCAGATGGTAGTGGGGTACCTCCAGCAGATGGTAGTGGGGTACCTCCAGCAGGGCGCCCCGGTTCTCATGAGTAAAACATTTCATGGTTCGTAAGATGGGTTTATCGTCAGGAAGCTCGTATCTGCTCGTGGGGTGTCTGTGTGTGTGTGTGTGTGTGTGTGTGTGTGTGTGTGTACATGTCCATATGTACATACCTACACATGCATAATGACATTCAGCTGTTTCTGAGGAATGTTTGTAAACGAAATAGAGAATTTTTTGGAAATTTGAGGTCTACCTGGGAGTTTCCTTGGGGTTTTTTTTTCATATTCATAACAAAGTGATACATGATAAAACTCTAAGTAATTGAAAGAGTTAAAAGGTTTTTTGTGTTGGAAGCATTAGACGAACAGATGGTATGCACGTAGGTGGGAAAGCTATTATTTAAACAGAGGAGGGCTAGTGTATACTGGAAGGGCATAGATATTTCAGGGTAGCTGGGGACTTAACATTGTGGGGGCCAGATTAATATATTTACCAGTGGACACAGCAGAAGCGGAAGCCAGAGCATATGGTCAGGAAGGGAGTTAACAGGCTGCCGACAAAGAGGAAGAATATGGCCGTTGAAGTAACCAAGGGGAGATGAGAAGTGGATAAAAATGGTTTTGAGATCGCTAAAGGCCTTGAGAACCTAAAAGAACCTCAGGTGATAGGGAAATCAGTTTGGCAATATTTATATTGTTAACCTTTGTCTGAAAAGTGTTCGAGAAGAGAATGAAGGAGGCAGCTCTGAATGACCACGCTGGGCTTTCACCAACACGCCGATGAGTGAAATGTGTCAAGGAAGTGAAAATCAGTTGAAGCCTCCAAGTCACAGAGGCAGGAAACCATAAAGAACACCAAGATGCGGAAAATCTGATAGTAGATGCTACCGATGATCAAACAGAAAGTGGGGCGTTGACTTTACTTTTGAATGTGTCCGTGTTCTTTTTTGTCCATTTAAAAAACGAGTGGGTTTAGTAAAACAAAACAAAAAACACACAAAGAAACAAAAAGTTCCCGTAGTTATGTTGGAACAAGGTCCTTTTCCTGTTGTGTTTTTGGCTTGGTGTGGTAGCCGGCCAAGTCACCTGCCGGCCAAGCCACTCTTCATCTGACAGGGGTTGGTTTTTGCCCTGAGTGAACTTCAAACTGTGTTAGAGTTTCATGAGGTCACATCTCTCAAGACACCTCCAAAGTGCTAGATGAATCCAAGGTGGGATCTCCAGCGTAACCATCCCTGGTATTTGTGGATGATTTCAGAGTTTACGGGCATTCTTGTTCAAGCTTTAAAATCAATTCTGCAAGGGCGCCTGGCTGGCTCGGTCACTGGAGCACGTGACTCTTGATCTCGGGGTCATGAATTCAAGCCCCACGTTGGGTGTGGAGCCTACGTAATTAAAAAAAATAAAATAAAATCGATTCTGCAATTCGTCAACAATTGCCCCTTTCGTGTGGGTGTGTGATTAATCAAAATATGAATTAGAGAGAGAAACAAATGTACGAATTTTGTTACTGATTATTTAGGAGAAGATCAATGCAGGAAAACACAAAACAGCACATACTCATACACAAACAAAAAACACAAAGAGGGCGCCATATTTACTACTTCTTTAAACTGTATACTAAAAGTAAACATCTGGGTGCCTCCCTGGGTCATTCATGGAGCATGCGACTCTTGATCTCTGGGTTCAAGCCCCATGTTGAGTGTAGAGATTACTTAAAAAAATAAAAATAGGAACACCTGGATGGCTCAGTTGTTTAAGTATCTGCCTTTGGCTCAGGTCATGATCCCAGTTCTGCACTGGGCTCCCTGCTCAGCAGGGAGCCTGCTTCTCCCTTGGCTTGTGCTCTCTCCCTCTCTGATAAATAAATAAATAACATCTTTTTAAAAAATAAATAAATAAAAATAATAATAAACATCATGGAAGTGTTGGAAAGGTCCATATAGATCGTGGTTCCTATGCCTTTGTAATTCATGAACTCCATTGAGAATTGGATGAAAAATTTATGGATTTGGGTGACTGGGTGGCTCAGTTGGTTAAGTGTCTGCCTTCGGCCCAGGTCATGATCTCAGGGTCCTGGGATCAAGCCCCTCATGAGGCTCTCCGCTCAGCGGGGAGCCTGCTTCTTCCTCTCCCTCTATGCTCTCTCTCTCTCTCAAATAAATAAATAAAATCTTAAAAACATTTTATGGATTCCTCCATCCCCTCCTTAAGAAAAAAAACTATATATATTATATAAAATATATGTACTATTATAAAAATATATGAGCATAGATTCCCACAAGGGCCATCTAGGTAACATAAATATGTGAATTGGGCCAAGTACAGACAATAAAGAATAGGGACACTTGTGTCAAACTAGAAAGTAATGCCAAGTTAAGACAATGGAGAATGGTAGGGTTTGTGAAAAACTAGGGATGCACATCCTTACTAAACTAAATTCAAATTCTAAACAATTTCTAGAAAATAACACCTGCAAAATATAACACATTTGAGGTAAATTTGACTGCAAACCCCTCTGGTTTGCAATTCTAGGCTCTTATTGTATCTAAACATGGGGGTATTCTCATTTTTTGCCCCAAGGCGCGACAGCAAGCTCAAGTACGTCACCAAATGGCAGAGGACAGCAAAGCAGATTACTCATCAATTCTCCAGAAATTCAACCACGAGCAGCATGAATATTACCATACTCACATCCCCAACATATTTCAGGTAAGTAATTCAGGCTTCTCAGATTGGCTTTGCCTTTAGAGACACATGGCTTTGGAATCATGATTGCTGGGCTTATATTGAGTATTTACAGAATTCTAAACTTCCTCAAACTGAAGTCACTTTTGAAAGCATCCAGGGAGCACCTGGGTGGCTCAGTCGGTTAAGCGCTTGACTCTCGATCTCAGGGTCGTGAGTTCAAGCCCTGCGTTGGGCTCTGCTCTGGGCATGGAGCTACTTTAAAAAAAAAAAGGATATATATTTATATATATATATATATATATATATATATATATATATATCAAGCATTGACTGGCAATAAGATGAAATATAATATTAATCTCAAGGTTAATCAGTGACCTTTGCAGATGTCCTCGGTTTGCACCTGCAGCCTTTCTTTGCTAGTCTTAGAAGTACAATTCTTAGATTAGCACCCTCTTTGCTAAAAGGACCATTCAGATTATAAAATGCCAACTTAATTTTAGGAGTTCCTAGCAGAATTCATACGGTTGTAGAATTTGAACAAATGACAGTCCTTTTCTTTGGATTGTTTCTCTTTTGGCTACTTTAGGTTGTCAGAAATGGCATGAGAAAAGTTGTAGACGTGTTCTCCCACTTCGGGAATCTTTTACAACTTGTGAACTGGGGTCCAGCTGTAGAAAAAATAAGTATCTGCTTATTCATGTCTACACACACAGGAAACAAGAGCCTCCAGCTTGTAGACGGAAGATACACAGTTACCTCTCAGCCTGTGTTGGGTTGAGACCATTAACCAACACCAGGCTTTTGGTAAAGTGAAATACCCGATCAAAGGCAGAGGAGAGGTTTGAAATGTATCACCAAATGGCGTCATTGATGAAAGCACTTGAGCTTGGTGTTCTCACTGAAACTGGGATGGAATCCTATAAAGTATACATTTGGACAGCCTAACAACTCTTAAAATATGTGTACAGCTGATGAAGATGGAGGCAATAATCATAATGATTGATCATGTAGCTCTAACCCTACCAGTTGGCCTATTTCCATTCCAGACTATTTGTTCGAGGTAACAAGGCCACTGAAAACAACTTCCGTGAGTCATAGTGGACCAAATTAATTTCGTACAAAATCTAATGTTGCAGAAAATACAGGAGATGGAGGAAAGGAGGATAGTGCGAATCGGGGACTCGATGAAGACCTATGCGGAGGTGGACCGGCAGGTGATTCCGATCATTGGGAAATGCTTGGATGAAATAGTAAAGGCAGCCGAATCCATCGATCAGAAGAATGTAAGTATTGTAGTTTGGACTTAATTTACAACGAAGGACTTCCATTATTTCTTTGCCGCCGTCCACAGTGACCTCACTGAGTCATCTCGAGATGGGTAGTAGCTTCCAGTGCTCACGAGTACTTTGCAGCAGTGGTAACACCACTTTTGAGTGTGCTGTTCAACTCTCAGTGTTTTGGATTTAGTTCTCAAATTTCTTTTCCAGAAAACACAGGTAAGTCTGAGACATTGCAGAATTAAATTGTTTTCCTGTCAGTTGGCTGAGTAACTCCCCACATCGGGATCTGGTTCTTTAGGTCACTTGACATTTTGCAGGTCAGATAATTCTTTATTCCAGGGCACAGTCGTCTGTCTGAGAACACTACTCAGGGCCAGTGTCATTCATTTGGATTACTTTCCTAGAAACCTATTTCCCTCAACAAAATAATCAACTAGGATACCAGCATAGGCTTTTACAAACATCTTTTAATTTGCAAAACCAAGTATTTAACAAAAAGCGATGTCATAACATAAAACAACAGTTTTATCTGGGAAATTGTGAGCACCCTAGACTTATAGGATATTTCTCCCATTATGGGAGCCTTGTTTTCCCATTTTATCCCTGATCATTCTTTTTCACCTATGACTTTTATGTTGCTAAATCCAAGGGTCTTTTCTAAGTCTTCATTCAAGTTCTTTTGTTTTGTTTTGTTTTGTTTTAAAAGATTTTATTTATTTTATTTATTTGGCAGAGAGAGAGCAGGAGAGCACAAGCAGTGGGAGCGGCAGAGGGAGAGGGAAAAACAGGCCAGGCCCCCTGTCGAGCAGGGAGCCCGATGCGTGGCTCGATCCCAGGACCCTGGGATCATGACCTGAGTCGAAGGCAGTCGCTTAACCAACTGAGCCGCCCAGGTGCTCCTTCATTCAAGTTCTTATCCAAGAATTTGAACTCTTAGCAGCACCGGCCCCCACTTGACCACCCTCCTATCTGCTGTTCCTTCACTTGATTCCCAGGAAACCATACTGTGATGGCTTTTCTCCTCACTGACTCAGTCTCCTTTGCTTGTTCTTGTTTTCCTTCTTCTTACCATTTAACTTGGGAGTACCCCTGGGCTTTGATCTTGGACCTATGTACTCTCCACATTCGCTCCTTAGAGTGATCCGTAGACTCTTGGAGCGTTAAGTCCCACCTCAACTCTGAATCACACGTGTTACATTCCCAGCCCGGACCTGTCCCCTCCACGGCAGGTTCATACACTCAGCTGCCCAGTGGCTTCTCCCCTTGGATGTCTACTACTTAGCGTATCCTCAAGCTTAGCGTATCCAAAATGGAGCTCCTGATCTGTCTTGCCGAACCTGTACCTCCTCTGGTCTTCATTCTCTCTGTCATGGCATTTTCATCCTTCCGGCTGCATGGATCCTGGAGTCATCTTTGATACCCTCTTTTGCTGACACCCGCATCAATGTGTCAGCAAATCCTGCTGGCTTTACCTCCAAAATACATTCAGAATCCACACAGCCCTCACCACCTCTATTGTTACCCTCCTGATCCAAGATCTGCATCCAGTTGGATTGTGCAGGAAGAGCCTGGATTACTGCAGGAGATGTCTCATGTCTCCCCACCTTTGCTCCCCACCCCATTCTTAACACAGAGGCCAGAGGTGTTCTTTTACAGTAAGTCAGGTCACGTGTCTCCTCTGCTCAGAGTCCTCCGTGGGCTTCTGTCTTACAGGAAAAGTCAAAGCCACTGTGGCCTCAAAGTCCTAAACTGTCTGGAACACCCTCCCTCCCCATTTATCTGTCTGACGTCACCTATTCTGTATTCTCCCCAGTGCTGTAGCCACAATGGCCTGCCTACTATTCCTCAAAAACTCCCAAGTATGCTCCTACCGTGCTGTTCCTTTGCCTGGAATATTCTCCCCATAGATATCTGCCTGGCTCACTCCCTCAGCCTCCTTCAGGGGTTTACCTGAATGAATGTTTCATTTTGCTCTTTTTTGAGAATTCAAGGGTCAGATACTTCTTAATCCATACAGATCATCTTTCCTGGAACATTCCCTTCCTCTTTCCGAACATCCCTGCTCTGTTCTCGTGGTGCGTCTCAAGTTTATCTTCTCTTGCAGATTTGGCTCCTAGCAAAGTTAGTTGTGGTCTTGCTGCTTTGATCTTTGCTATTTTTATTCTAGTTTTCCTTTGATCACACATGCTCTTTATCTCCGCCTCTTCGTGTTTAGTTGCTGGCATGTCCTCCTTCAAAATTTTCATTTTGAGAAACATTGATGGTAATTTTATGAAATGGTTCCCTGAACATTTACTGAACACCTACTTCCTTCCATGCGTGGCATGCTCACCACGACCCGCTGAGGAGAACCTCGAATTCCGAGAGGTTGCAGCCCTGCCCAGCGCCACATAGTGAATGTGTCCATCTGGTTCCAAACCCATGTTCTTCCCTTAAGCCCTCCTCCCCGCCCCCCCGCCACCCCGCCACCTTGTGCTTTTTATTTCTAAAGCAAGCACTGTTTCTGGCACATGTTTGAATCTGCTCACTCACAAGTGCCAGGCACAGCCCTGAAGACAGAGTACAGTACAGTACAGGACAGTAACAAAATAAATGAGAACCTTATTTAGAGTGTTAAAACAGGATGAGCATTTGGGGGAAAATGAGGTAGGAAAGGATGCTAGGAGGTGCCCGAGGGGGTGGGGCTGGCTGTTACACCAAGAAGTTATATTTGCGCAAAGACTTGAAAGAGGTGATTGAATAATTATTTAAATGGGATCGGAGGACAGAAAGCTACCAGCTCTGTTAGCCCCTCCTCCAACAAACTGGATGTCCTCTCCCCCTTAAAGCAGTCTCAGAATCACATGATTACTTAGAATTTCAAACTGGTTTATTTATGTATGGTTAATTTCCATTTGTATCAAATGACCGTGTTTTCATTAGAGCACATCAGTGAGTCACTGGCACACCTGGGCTTATAGATCTGCATCTGCTCGCGTACGTTTAACTGCATGTAACAAGAACAGTAGTGTCTTACACGAGGTGACTTGTTTTTCCTCTCACATAAAAAATGTCTGCAGGCAGAGGGTCCAGCCCTGGCATGGACAGATGGTCTGTAAGTTCTCAGGGACTCAGGCTCCTCCTAGTTCACAGCTTTTGATGATGTGACCTTCAAACTCAGTATGGCTTCTGGAGCTCCAGCCATCGCATCCAAATTCCAGAAAGCAGAATATAGAGAAGGACCCATGCCATCCCTTTAAAGAGTCTTCCTAAAATTACACACCATCCTGTCTACATCTCAGAGAACTCAGAGGTCAAAACTTAGGTGGCTACCTCCTGCTGCACAGAAGGCTGGGGAGTGAAGCCTTTAGGTGAGTGGCCAGGTGCCCCACTTAAAATCAGGGTTCCTATTCCTAAGACGGGAAGGTAGTTGGCTATTGGAAGACAATCAGCAGTCTGTGGTCCATCTACAAAGTAAGTAGTAGCTAAAATAGCTATGACATACCAAAATGTGGGCTTGTATTAAGAATTGAGATCTTTCCAGGGACGCCTGGGTGGCTCAGTCGTTAAGCGTCTGCCTTCGGCTCAGGTCATGATCCCAGGGTCCTGGGATCAAGTCCCGCATCGGGCTCCCTGCTCAGCGGGGAGCCTGCTTCTCCCACTCCCTCTGCTGCTCGCCCTGCTTGTGCTCTCTCTCTCTGACAAATAAATAAAATCTTTAAAAAAAAAAATTGAAATCTTTCCAGATTGTCATCCTAGTGTTTTTTTTAAGTCAGATGATCATTGACTTCAAATGTTACTACAAATCACATGTGCTTTTGTAATACTTTATGTATACATCTGTCTATCCTATCTATGACATTATGGTTGTGATCGCCTTACACATTTGTCTGCACTACCCGACCCCGAGAAGATGTAGCACCCAAAGTTCCTAGCAGGGTGCACACCTTAGAGTAGGCGTTCAGTTCATTGATTTATTCAGCATTTATTGCACACAGTTCTCGCTGGGCCACCATCTAGGTCTAGGGATACAGTAAAGGAAAAACAGACGAGAGCTAGCATGTGAGTGGGGGCGGGTCTATGAACAAATGCATCCATAAGGAAAAATCATGCAATGAATTAATATCCCTGAACCACAATGAACCGAAGAAGTGAGAGAGATTATCTACACTTTGCTTTGACTTTCTGTATGCTAAACTACCTTAAGAACTCCTGGTGAGAACCAGACTTCTGTATTACTGTATTTTTCAAGGGAAATGCATAACAGTGGCCCATTTTTTTCTGCTTTTAGCAAAGTCCTTCTTACTTACTTAATATTCGTTTCTCCAGCTGTGGAAAAATGGTTATTGAGAATATCTTTCCATCTCAGCTAGGCGTATAGCTTTTCGAATAGTGCTTATTCTTTCTAATGATAAAAATATTACTAGAAAAAATCTGTTATTAACCAATATAGATAAAATTCTATAGATAACTATAGAGCTAGAACTCTTTTTTTTTTTTTTTAAGATTTTATTTATTTATTTGAGAGAGAGAGAATGAGAGATACAGGGCACGAGAAGGAAGAGGGTCAGAGGGAGAAGCAGACTCCGCGCTGAGCAGGGAGCCCGATGCGGGACTCGATCCCAGGACTCCAGGATCACGACCCGAGCCGAAGGCAGTCGCCCAACCAACTGAGCCACCCAGGCAGGCGCCCTAGAGCTAGAACTCTTTACAATAGCATCTGTATGAAGCCATCAAAATTCGTTGTGTCAAAAGTATTTGCATGTGTTTGAATGCATTCGTGTTTGATGGGTGTAATTTCAGGATTCCCAGCTGGTAATAGAAGCTTATAAGTCCGGGTTTGAGCCTCCCGGGGACATTGAATTTGAGGATTACACTCAACCGATGAAACGCACCGTGTCAGATAACAGCCTTTCGAATTCCCGAGGAGAAGGCAAACCAGAGCTCAAGTTTGGTGGCAAATCCAAAGGAAAGTTATGGCCTTTCATCAAAAAAAATAAGGTACTGATGGTTGGACCAGTGTGAAATGAGTTTTATCAAGTGTGGAGATTTTGACTTTCTCTGTTAGTCTTAAAAAACAAAACAAAACTTAAGAATGTAAGCCTGTAGTTCACAGAATGCAAAAAAAAGAGCTAGAATGCTATTTTGTTTTAAACCATGATTTCTCTTTGGTGGTGGTCCCTTTGCCATGGCCATTTGTCTTATTTCAGATGCATTGCCACCTGACTTGTGTCACCCACACTAACACTGACCTCTACTGACCTCTCGGCCATTCCCCATCATGCCTTTCACTGCTAAGTCCGCTAGCCACCGGGTCCCCTCGGCTGGGAGAGAGGGCACTGCGCAGGATTTCTCTAACAATTTATCAGCAGCTCTGATTGAAATCGTTTCCACGGGTTAATAGCTTGGTTTTTGAATTCATGTTAACATGTACCTCCATGAACATTTTGCGTTTTCTTTTGGTAGCGTGGTACGTAGGTGCATGACAGTGTTAACCTGGGCGTCACATTATGCGCTCTCCTGAGAATAACTGCATATTTAATTTTTCAAAGACTGTCTTGCTGTTTTGACAACCTTGGCATCTAAGGTCCTTTACGTTCTCTCATCAAGCTCTGGTGGTTTAGATGGTTTAGAAATCTTTACCCTTCTGGCCCTTAACTGGTTTAGCGTAACTAACCGGAAATGTAGTTTGCATGTGAGAGTCTGCATGAGCTTCTTGTCAGAGATTTCTTGCTCTTCTTCCATTGCTTTACTTACTAAAACCTCCAATTTTTGTCATATTCTACATGTTTTCTTTTGGACCATGGCCTAAATATTTAATCGTTTGTGTTTTACTTGCTTTGGATTTCAAATATTATTTGATGCTTATTTTTGTTTTGTGTCTTATCTTCTTGTTTCTGATTTTACTCTGTCACTGCTCCATCTTACATGTAGCTTATGTCCCTTTTAACATCCCCCCATCAGCCTCCCCCTCCTCCCCCTGCCTCTGCCTCACCCTCTGCTGTTCCCAACGGCCCCCAGTCTCCCAAGCAGCAAAAGGAACCCCTCTCCCATCGCTTCAACGAGTTCATGACCTCCAAACCCAAAATCCACTGCTTCAGGAGCCTAAAGCGTGGGGTAAGTTCTGCTCTGGAATCCCGTCTCTCTCGTGCGCTCTGGGTGCATGTGTCGTTCTGCATGATTTATTTTGTTTGTGAATGAATCTATTGTGTTTTCCCATAACACGAAACAGTAAGGACCTGGGATTCACCATAGCTAGAAAGAAGAACCACGATAGGAGAACAGAAGAAAGAAGGAAGTAGAATGGATGGGAAGAAGAAGAGAAAGCCAGCCGGCCGGCCCAGAGTCCTTTTGGTCTTGAGCACATTTTAGAAAGTCTTTTCTCTACTTCTCTTTTAAAACCTCTCAGTCATTAATATTCTACCTTGATTTTACCAAAAAAGGAAGCTTAGATTCAGTTTCCAAAGCCAGCGACATCTGAGATGAGGAATTGGAGGTCACTGTAGACTCAGAAAGTATTTGCTTGATAATTACTGAAACAATGTGAGTGTCACGAAGATACTTCTCTCTGAGCTAAGCTTCGGGCTTCCAAGGGGAGATGGCACGAGGTTACAGTGGTTTCTTTAGCTGTGTTGGTGAACTTATAAGAGGGTGATGAAATATCTGTTGGCTGGAAGAGACCTAATGCTGGATTTATCTTTAGAAGCTGAGATAATAAGCAACTGACATTTATTGAGCACTTACTGTGTACCAGACTCTGTTCCGTGGGATCATTTACTTTGCTTCAACTGCCCTGTGAGCCTAGGTACTATGACATCTTTATTTTACTGGTAAGAAAACTGAGGCCTAAAAAGATGCAAGTTAGGAAGAGGTAAAGCTCATTGAGGTTCTGTGACGTCCACACCCGGAGAGCATCTGTTATAATATGGTTGACTCACGAGTGGATGTCCTTTAGATAGATCCCAGCTTGCCATTCGAATTAGGATCACCTGTGCCAAATTCACAGTTTTGTGCGATTGATCCCGTAACCAAAAGGAGTTACCAGTTTGGTTTACAGTAAAAGATTGGAACAAAGTCATTTGGAGCCTCCCAAATAAATCGAACTGATCAGTGTAGTCTAAGCCATCCCCAAATATCCTGTATAATGAATAATGAGGCGTGGCGACCAAAAATAAACAGACATGTGTGCCCAGCAAGGTCTTTTATCCTGACCTGTGGGGACTGCAGTACAGTGGTCGTGGGATGTGTTCTCGGACAAACAATTTTTACTCTTCCCTTCCTTTGGGTAAGACAGAAGGTAAATGTGTAATAGCTGTGACTAAAACAAGGTGAGGCACATATACTGAAATTGGAACAATCCAGAGATTAGCACGGCCCCTCAGCATGGATGACATGCAAATTCGCGAAGCGTTCCGTATTTTAAAAATAAGTAAATAAATAGAATGAAGTACAGCCCCCCCAACTCTTTATATGCAGAGTTCCTTTAATAAGGGAATCTCAACATTTTATGCAAAGAATACATATAGTTGACGAAATTATCTTGTCTTAAGGTTTCCCAGCATATCAGGTTAAGAATTAGAAATGTAATTTCCTCAAGGTTTCAAGAGAGCCATTGTTAGAAGGCAGAGTGTAGCTTCAGAAGTGGATGATGGATCGCGTTGAGCTCTATAATTAGATCTCAGTTCCTGGCTCGGTCAGGCTGGCTTTTAAAACTCCCCGTCCTGGGGCGCCTGGGTGGCTCAGTTGGTTAAGCGTCTGCCTTCGGCTCAGGTCATGATCCTGGAGTCCCGGGATCGAGTCCCACATCGGGCTCCCTGCTCAGCGGGGAGTCTGCTTCTCCCTCTGACCCTCCCCCCTCTCATGTGCTCTCTCTGTCTCTGTCTCTCACTCTCTCAAAATAAATGAATAAATCTTAAAAAAAAAAAAAAATAAAACTCCCCGTCCATCCCGCTTGCTCATGGAAGAATTTCCAACATCTGACCAGGGTGTTTTTGCGACATTATAAAGTTTCATGTTAACTGTAAGTCGGTTAACCCATCTCTCTGCCACTTGCAAAACCATTACAGAGCACTCATTTATTATATTTCTAATAAGTACCTCTGCATGGTCTTTTGGAATCTCATCGCAGAGTATGCTGAATATTTGTGATTGTTTACCATTTGTTTCTGTGTCCGTTCCATTCTCTCAACACTACACAGTCTGTTGGTTGCAAATGGTTTTCCCGAATCTGTGTTTCATGATGTTTTCGAAATGTTGAGGAAAAGACCAAAGAATGTCAGTAATCAAGTGTGCAGGAAAGATGGCTAAGAAAAATATAACCCTTCAGAACCAGTGAAATGAGAAACAAGTTATTATGATGATTAAGAGGAAAATCCCTCTTTTAAAAATTATAATTAACAAAGTGAATTTTATTTCTTACCCTTTAAATCTGTGCTCAGCAAAAACTCAGTCAAAAATTTTTTTTCTCAACGCTTTGTTTTCCTGAGAGTTAACACACACACGTACACATTCTAGAAGAATTAGTAAATAAATAGAAACACATTTCTGCTTCCTTCGTTTTGGGTCAGCCTGTTCTTAGTGAGGGTCAGATTTGAGGTCCCTTCCTTCAGGAAGTAGAAGTGAACAAAAAAGAAAGGGAAAAAAAAAAAGAAAGAAAGGAAATGCATCACAGAAGTAAAGTTAGGAAGTTCAAAAATAAAAAACCAATCTGAAGTTTGGGGAAATAAATTTGATCTTAAAGCAATCTCAACCCAGAAGGCACACGGGTTACGGGGCCCGTGATGAGAATGATACTCTCCTTGTATTTCCTTTATTCTTCCTTTTTAACTTTAAGACTATTGTGCCAAAGATAGGAAGAGTGTCCTAGAATAATAGATCTGTGATTTTAACACATCTTTTAATTTATTGTGTTTTGCAGCTTTCAGATCCAGATTTCAATCCTTTGTTCCTATTATCTGAATGTGTAAATCCTATGCAGACATTTCTTAGCATAGGCGATTTTGTGTCTAAATAATTAACCAGGATAAAATGTTTTTTTGTTGTGTGTCATTGGCATCTGTAAGAAAATTTTGTTTCACTGAACATTTCTAAAATATGCCACCTGAGCATTATTAACCATTTTCTCATCTTTACCTAAGTCAGGGAAAAATGAAACTAGATAGTATGGTCTCGGTTTGCAATTTACAAATGTAATTTTGTTGTCTTAAATTAAGATTTCTCTTTCTGGTCTGGGCAAGGGCCTTCTAAATCTAAAATACGGACCTAGTTCCCCCGTGTTTTAGAGTTCATTGCATGGAAAAATCCCACCGGAGTTGATCAGAAGGTTTGGAAAACCCTTACCGATTGTTTGTCAGATGTTACAATTTCATGGTTACTTTAATTTTATTTATTTTATCTTGTTCTCTTGCTGATTATTGGCAGACTCAGTCTTTCAGTTTTCACAAAGAACTCATGAAGAGGACGATAGGGAAACCCACGTATGCTTTTGAAGCTAGGGACTATGTTGTAAGTTTACCTGGGACGGCCAGGGCATACAGTCATGGCACAGGTACCAACCCCTATGACAGCACCAAGACTGGGGACCCGGCAATGAAATTCCCCACTGGGAGACCTGGACAGGGGAAGGGCCTCATTATTTGTAGAAATTCAACCCCAAGCTACTTTATCTGGAAAGCTTGGGTGGGAAAAGGAACCCAACTTCCCAAGAACAGTCAAGCTGCCTCAAAATGCCAATGGACCGAGCTTGGCTCTGCTCCCCCCCTTCGCTGATTGTGACTGCCGTCTCAGATGTCAGTGGGTGTGATTTGACGATGGGTGTGAATCTCACCCATAAACGCAGCTGCAGAGCGTGGTGCCCGGAGAAGGACACTCTTACACACGGCAGTTGTGTAGCTCGTACGAGGACCCACATCCCTGTTTGAAAGAGGTGGATCTGTCGGGGGGTTATGCCATGACGCTTGGAGAACCAAAACAATCACTGGGGCGTGAGCAAGGTCGTAGTC